TTGGCGTCGAAATGAATAGCCACAATGGGTAAAGAAACTATATGTCAACAGCATTGATGAACGGGTCCCAGCACACCAGCTGGTTCCTGCACGAATGTTCGGCATTTGTCGCAGCTGAATTTCAGGAGATGAGGTGCTTGCCAGTATCGCGGAGCTACCAGTCTCGCACACATGATTCGAAGCGGCCGTCTCGCCTTTTATAAGTACCAAGGTGGAAGAGACGCGAAAACCACGTTACCTATGTACGGGCGGCTCAAACTCATCAAAGCGGAAGAGGGGTAGCGACGATTGTCATTCAGTGGGACAGAGTTTAGACTGTAAAACACTAAGGGGAGGTCCTCTGGTTGACATTCATCATTGCTTGAATTTGTAATCCATGTGATTATTTAAATCCAGAATAAATCTGCTTGCATTCATTATTGCAATACAAAACTTAGTTAGTCGATGGCAAACAGATCCTAGACCTGACCACCTTAAAGCTATAGCTAACCAACACTGCGCAATGCATAATAAATTCACCCGCAATATCACCAACAGGTACAATACCAGTCAATATTTTGAGACCAACTCATTCAACTGGATATATAAATATTAAACAGTATTATTTGATACGTTAATCACTTGTATATTGCAGCTTCACAGCTCCTTCTAATCCTTTCAAACACGCCGTTCAGTGTGTCTGTCGTACACCGTGCTCTGACAAACGGAATCTGGAAATCGTGGAAATCTTTAAACGAGACTCGTACCGCTAGTTTGGCGGTCTGGTACGGACTTGACGATATACCAGTCACATTGTACGTAACAGGTACACTGAATAAGCGCAAAGAACACATAACAGGTTAACCAGTCCAGCCAGATGAATTGTGAATCATTTTACGACCTCATCAAACCAGGGCAGTCTGCTGACGTCTTAGTTAAGGTCATGCTGCCTAAACCTCGCCATAAAATATAGAAATAAGATTTTTTTAAAAGTTTAAAATCAAAATTCATTTGTAAAAACCATTTTTTATGAAACAAGGAATTTGAATTGATTATAACCATAGTTGTTTGTAGTGGCTCTTTTCACGTTTCACATGAGGAAATCTGGATCTGCTGAAAAGCAGGGTCGTTGTCTAATTGGCCACGACGACTCATGTTTCGGCTTGTTATTTCAGTATGGTTTTACGGTAGTGTGTGTATGGGCTTAAGCTTTCCCGGCGCAGAGCTTCCCTGGGACAGTGTTGGAGGTGAGAATTAAAAACGCTGATCTGTATTATTATCAGTTCAAAGGTGTTATTATCACATACCAGCAGCTACAGATATGTGGACGTGCATTTCATACATACAAGTTGGTATCCACTTTAGACAAAGGCGACACCCGCGACGCAATCAGAAAGAAAGAAAACAATGTTTACAATTTAAAGTTATTTTGTCGACAGCCCTGTTTGAGCGGTAAATGAAAATAAAGAAAAAAGTTAACGTGTCTGTCGGACAGAGTGTACACATGGTACATACTGCGCTTAAAAACCTTTCGTCATCAGTAAACCATGCCAAATGTAATAATACGGTGGAAGCCCGCTTGTCCGAACCCCATATCCGGCAGCGGAAACCTCGTTACCGGAATACTTGTGAAACGAAATACATACTACTTATAATGGCATTTACGGAAATCTGGGTACACACAACCGGGTAGCTAATTCATTACATGGCATGAATGGCATCCTTAATTTATTCCTGATATTTCATATAATGGTCATAACAAGTCATTTATTGTATATCTAGACTGATGCTCGTGATTTATTTTTATCAATATTATTCAAAGTAATAGTCACTATTGTCATCAAAATTGTAAAGTGACCGCACGAACTCGTCAACCTTTTACTTCCCCAAGAGTTCTGAATACCGCTATTGATGCCTTCGAAGCGAACAAGTTCGCGGAACCGGACTCATATATCTGCCGTACATTGGTGTGATAAATGTGATATTTGATAACCTGGCTAAGATGTGCCAACATGGAATTTTACTGATTGAAATGACCTGCTTATGATCAAATCGTTCCATACCTAAACAATGTAATTTAGATGAACATAGAGTTGAACGATACTTTGGTGAGTAAGTGAGAGTTTAGTTTGACGCCGCACTCAGCAATAATCCATCTATGGCGGTGGTCTGTAAATAATCGAGTCTGGACCAGACAATCAGTGATCAACAACATGAGCATCGATCTGCGCAATCGGGACCGATGAAATGTGTCAACCAAGTCCAGCGACCTGTCCACCCGATCCGTTAGTCGCCTCTTACGACAAGCATGCATGTGGGTTACTGAAGATCAATATTCTTACCCGGACCTTCACCGGGTCAACAATAGTTTAGTTACATTCACGGCGTCACCTCCTTACCCCATGTGTTCTTGTTTGCCAAGGGAAACAACTCTGGGCATACTTAAGAGTTATGACATGTAGAGCTGTCTCCCTTGAATCAAGGTCAGAAAACGTTCTACAGACCTTTGATACGGTTCATATTGATGGTCAAAATGGTTTGCTACATTCTCAGTTGTGTACAGAAGGGGCACCCAAGGAAGGATATCATAGTAGCCATGTTGAGTTTGTCTGATTCATTATTTGTTTCCTACTCACAATGGGTACAATGAGTGAATTCTAGTGTCCCTTGCCATGTCGTAGCTGAAATATTGCTAAAACGTAGCCAAGAACACAAATCACCCTGAGTCAGGAAAAAGGGACTGACGATGTTATTAATTAACAGTGAGTATATTACCCGCAAAGGTGCGCCTGCTTATGTCCTTGATGTGGCTGTACTGATTCATGTATTGGCTGGGTACCTGGAGGGGGGAGTGTGTAGATTGATACGCCAGGTACAGGAAGAATGGCTGCAAACAAAAGAACGAAAACATATATGACGAGACAAAAGTCATTGACTGAGTGTTGTCTTATGCTGATTTTAGCAATATTGTTCCTGGAAAATCACGACAAGGGACACCAGAAATGGACTTCATACACTGTAGCCATGTGGGGAATCGAACCCAGGTCTTTGGCGTGACAACGCTTAAAGCCACAAGGCTACCCCACCGCCCAAGACAAAAAGAAACTCATCACATAGACATCACATCACATTAATAACATAGACTCGACATCCAGCGAAACTGGTAGACAAAGTCATCACATGCAGACTGTCACATTGATTTCAATATTTACAGTAATAACTACATGAAACATTCTCGAGGGAACTCTGCACCTACCTTCGACTTGTCATGCTTGTTGATGATATCAATTGCCTTCTCCGTAAACAGATGCGTTGAATAGTGACCATTCTCGGTGAACACTGGCTTTGTATTGTCACGTAAGTCGTGTCCACAATATGAGGTATTAGCAACGTGGTTGTCACAATGGTTGTGGGTGTAGTAGTTCTCACTGCCTGACAGGTAGCCTGCAAATTAGGACAATGCAGTATGTAAAGGGGTAATTAGCATGACTCATCTAAATATTAAAAATATTTGAAATGATTAGACAAATAATACACATATTTATGATTACTCGTGTGCAAATTCTCACTGACTCAAGAACTTTTTACAATTTTGTCAGACTTGAGAATGAACACTTTCCTCAGAGGAAACCAAGATTAATCCCTGTTCTGCATTCCATGAAATAATTGTTCACACATTATCTGCATGGTCTATGTTATGATACTGCTCAACATCTGCTAATTCTCTTTTTCTCACGGGTCATAATTTGTCTGAAATTTCCTTTCTTTGAGCATTAGTCAAGTTTGCAAATCTGATGAATTAGGCGGCTTTGAAATTATGATCCTTTAAGTATCATTATCCTTCAATAATGAAATAAAGTTCACTTCACGATTATGGCTGATGACAGTTTCCATATTTCGTGGTTTCACTATCCCTAGTGAGTGGGGTACGATTTACATCGGCAATATTTCATCCATACCGTAATAACACCCATCACTATCAGCACCAATAATTTAGACCCTTGAAAGTATGTAGCAACCAATGCTTGTTATAAGTCGTTGATCAGGACATGCTTGACACGTGTCATCGTATCCCAATTGCATAGGTCGACGCTCATGATGCCAATAACAGTATTATCTGGGCCAGACTCGATTATTTACAGACCGCCGTGATATAGCTTGGGCATTGCTGTGCGTGGCGTTATACAAAAACAAGCATCTTTCCTTACCATAGAATGAATCAAATCCCCTGTTGTTAGGGATGTATGCATTCTTGTAGAAACCCAGATGCCATTTGCCGACAGCATAGGTTGAATAGCCTGCGTGTTTGATCTTGTCTGCAATTGTGGCGCTACCTAGCGGCAGAGCATTGGGCTGGGTTTCCCAGATGATGCCATGTTGTAAACCAGTATGAATCTGAAATCAAAACAGATGAAAGTCATCACGGTGTTTTACAGAAACAAAAGGAAACCAAATAGACACTTCAAACTTAAATTGATCCAAAGATTTCATATGCAATGAAAACAAAAGGTTAGCATTACAAGGATGAAAACATTCACTGACGCACCAAGGATATTTGTTGTAAGAAGCGACTAACAGGATCGGGTGGACAGGCCCGCTGACTTGGTTGACACATGTTATCGTATCCCAAATGCGTAGATCGATGTTCATGCTGTTGATCACTGGATTGTCTGGTCGATTATGTACAAACCGCCGCCATATAGCTGGAATATTGCTGAGTGTGGCGTTAAGCAACTAACAAACGAGCAAAACAAAGTGTTATGAGTCAGGATTGAAAACATTCACTGACGCACTACCAACTTAAAGTCCAAAACACCTGTATCGCAAACATCACTAACCAGTTTGGAGCAGCTATCAAACATGGCTGTACATTTGTTTCACTTGCCAGTTTATATGAACATAAGATTACGAACTGATGCGCCATATCCACTGCATGTTGTACACAGGCTGGAATAGACGAAAAATGACGTCATCATCGAACACCTGGCTGACCTCATTTCACAGGGGTGTGAATGACCGTGGGAAACACATCATAGCATCACACCATGACATCACGCCATTAATTTGGACCAATCAGCATACAGACAACTCACTCCGGTGTGACTCACCCTGACCGAGGGGTCAATGACCGCGCGTCCCGTGGGAAACACATCATAGCATCACACCATGACATCACGCCATTAATTTAGGCCAATCAGCGTAGAACAACTATCGGGGTTCACTGGACCACTGACCACAAACTAGTTTCGTCCGGTTTCAATTTTACCTATTAAAAAAACCCTCTGACAGTCAGTTGAAGTTATCATTTTGTCCTCTTACAAAATGTTTATATTTTCTATATTCAATAACCTTTTCTGCGGCCTGTGGAGAAAATCTGTCATCTCAGAGCGCGCGCCGTTGAGGCATGGTGAATTAACAGTCGCAGCCTCCACACACTTCCCTCGTCTCACTCAGCCGAGGTGTAATATGATACCTCCTCAAGTTGTACTCAAAATCGTGGGTCTAACATCAGCCTGTCTCACGTGTCTGACCCATATTATTTTGCCTACAGCCTAGCCCTCCCTGCACTGCTAAGGCTCTAAATGAAGTCTAGATTTCCCCCAGGTCTGCCTTGGGCTCCTTGTCAATTTAAATAGGTTTGTTTGTTACTATCAAGATAATACATTCAGAGACTAAACATTAGTCTAGTCAAACATGTGCACTCATATGTGTAAAAGAAATTATACGGGTTTTATAACATATTTGTTCAATGCAATCAGCGTTCATTGCCACATGAAAATGATTTGAGTTTGTCTTGACCATCACCAGAACAACCCAACTCAATAGAATTTCAAATGTATTTCAAACTTACCGGTATTCACATTCCATATTTGAATATCCAATCCATATTGTCATTGTATCCTGCCTTGTAATGCGATAAATTTAGGAATCAGGGATGATATTGAGATGTTATACCCAAATCCCATATGTTTGTGATTGTATTGAATGAATCAACCACCAAAACACATGAGACTAATATTGCACCTTCCATGTAAATAGAACATATGTTATATCTGGGATTGTGTTGTGCAAAATACTCTCCCTCTCACAGTGCTAGCAGAGACGCGATCTGGTGACCCACATTTGCGTGTGTGGGACTATGCTGTGGGGGGAGGGGTGGGGTGGGTAGGGGGGCACTGCTGTGGCAGAGGGAGGGAGGTTTCTGTCGACAGTTATATAGCCTGACGACATTTCTCGTGAGTGTAAAACACCCATAAATAAAAATGCTCGTTAGAATGAACGCTAGCTAGGGCGTGTCAGCTTTGAAATGTGCGTTCTGGTCATGGGGTTTTTGTACATCATATTTAGGAATGCAACTTTCAACTTTCTAAAATTCCATCAGGAAAGGGGTGTAATTGTATAGTGTTAGCATGAAAGAGTAATCATAAATGACAACTCACAGGTGTATATTATTTTCATATGGGTATTTATATAGCACTATAGTCCATACCGCATGCATGCTCAAAGGGCTGGTAACTTTTTCCTTGGATGTCAATCACAGCCATATTACCATTCTCAACTCCGCGGGGAGCATCTTGCTGCCACTAGGCGCACTAAGTTAATGTGGCTCCCAACGAGGTATACATCACAAAAAAACAAGATAAACTGATTTTCATTTTTTTATTAGCTCCGTTTCAAACGAGTACAACTACGGGATAGGAGCGCTCCCAGAAGTTAACTTTACATCTGTTGTCTTATCACCGTTCCTAATCGTCATGGCCTTCACTCTCTTCATCAGATGTTATGTCTGCATTATCATCTTCGGTCAAGCCTTCGACCCAAGACTTATATTGGTACAGATTGGAAAACACATCATGATACAGATTATTTGTGTCTCCTACTTGTTTCAGTATTCCTTGTGTCTTTGGACCATACTGCATATGGAACAGATAAGTAATAAACCAGGCATACGTCTCTTTAAACGTGCTCCACATGTATTTGTTAAGTTTGGCTTGAATCGTGTCTTCGTTTAAACCTCTTTTCATGTACAGTTGTCGTTTCTCATCCAAAAAGTCTTTATTCAGCTCACGTGTACGTGAATACATTTGTCTTATACCTTGCTCTTCGAGATCAGCCATCTTTTTTTTCCTGTTGTTTTGTGCGACTTCGTTTAATGATTCATCATCATCATCATCATCATTTTCCATTTCAGGACATTGTTTATCGTGTAAATGTCTTTGTAAGTTGTGGTTATTGCTAAACACTTGACCGCAATAGTCACAATCTGACAGTGTACGCGGTGCCTTCACAGGAGAGAAGTTGTCGTCTTCCTCCCTCTTCCTTTTCACTTGGGGTATTCCCGGTGGACCCACTGAAGACTTTACAGGACACCAGTTTCTTCTGTGTTTTTGTAAATCCTGCATGTCTTGAAACATGAGTCCACAGTCATCACAAGATGGCATGGTTGGGAGGTTTTCTTCACACGTCTGCTCACGCCGAAAGTCTAACTCGGACTGAATGGTCCTAGCTTGGTTGTCTCCTTTTAAGCTGAATGCATTGGGGCAAAGTCGCAAATGGGGAGGTGTTTGGGGTTTTAGATCAACCAACAAGTAACCATATGGTTTCTGGATAGCTCTTTGAAACGGCTCCATGAAACGGTCTGTGTTACCTGGATACATTTGCCTCGCCAAAGTCATGATGGGTTGTTGATCGATAGGGTTGTTGAACAGAAGCAGATAATGGCAGTTTCTTCGTTGTGTGGGATCCTTACTGAAATACAAATTCTGGTTCAAGGCGATCACTGAGAGATTACGATGATGACTTCCTTCCGTAAACAGATCTGTAATGCGTGGATCGTTGCTCGCTGTCGACATTAAGTCGTCGAGGATCACCACATTCACCACATGGGGGTCCAGAAACGCATCCTTTTCGAGATCAGAAGGAATGCCTTGATGAAATTCCACATAGGGATAAACATGGGTTTGAATGGTGTTATACAAGGGCTGCCATCGTTTGTAGAGCCAAATAATACGTTCAGGATAAGGTTTAATGTTCATGCGTTCTAGAATCTGTTTCACTAAGTACGTTTTCCCACAGGAGGTGGGCCCTGAGACAATCATGGTGAAGGGGTGTATCAGTCTACATTCTTCCAAAGCACCCACATGTGGTTGCACTGGTTGCATCATAGGTGGTGGTGGTGCTCGTGGTGGTGGTGGTGGTGGTGGTGGTGGCGGTTGTGGAGGTGGTGGTGGTGGTGGCTGCATTGCTCGTCTGTGTTGATTCCTGAGATGTCTAAGCATGGCATCCCTTCTGGAAAACGTCTGATAGCACACGGGACACGTTGCTGACTGCATGGTGGTCCGAGTCTAAATGGCAAAGAACCTGTCTACTAGCTGCTTTTATCTAAAAACACGTCTTCCGTTTCTTTGTGCGACTCTGGGAGGAAGTCATTATTTTGGCTTCAGTTTCCCCGTTCTCCTGCATCTGAAGACGTGCTCTGGCCTGTTGAACGACTTGTTGGGTTGGAGACGTGAGAGCAAACTTTTCTGTAGAAGGGGTTAGGTCTATCTTTACCCCTTGTTTCTCATAATAGATCACATAATCATCCACGTTAGTAAAGGGATTGGGATATCCTTTAGCCTGCAAATAGTAATATTTGGTCCATTTGTTAGGATCGTCCAAATAGGGTCTCCAGTATCGTCTGTTCATTATCTTGTTCAGAATGAATACTGACTCTCACACAGAGGTTTCAGATGAAGTGTCACTATCACGGGTCCACGGCTAAATGAAGCTAAATCACCGTTTCTGTCCTTTATATAGATGTCTGCTAGCCCTAATTCTAAAAACATGTTGTTAGCAGAGCGTGGTTTCGATCCACGGTCCTCTGGGTTATGAGCCCAGTGCGCTTCCACTGTGCCACTCTGCTCTCCCTTCACCTACCTTTTGTTAGGACTTTTATACACCACATCAACCAATGACAACCAAAATTGATTTATTCTCAAATAGTCACAAATACACACAGTATTGTACAATGAGCATCGCATTGAAGTCTGAATGACATGGGGACTGTTCGGGGGCCTTATATTGCCCACTTGAGTCTAAAAATACCCCTGGGAAAGTGGTTTAATCCAAGGTCAACTCAGTACAAGGTCATTGACACCCCTTTGAAATGAGGTCAGCCAGGTGTTCGATGATGACGTCATTTTTCGTCTATTCCAGCCTGTGTACAACAACTGTGAGGTGAGGTGAAATTGGGTTTAACGTCGCGCTGGAGAATATTTCGCTCATATGACGACGTGCATGCGTGTGTATGTGGGGCCTCTTGTACTAGCCCAGACTTAAGCTGGTTTTATAGTGCTAGCTCACTGAGGTACCATGCCGCAGTGAAGCATGAATACCCCACTCAGACACATTATACCGACTCTGAGCCGACCAGTCCTTGTTTCACCCATTAATGCCTAGCGCCAGGCACGGACCAACAAGTACCATATTTTAACGTCTTTTGGTATGACGCGGTCGGGGATCGAACCCGCCACCTTCCGCTCTCCGGGCGGACGCTCTAACCACTACACCACGGAGGCGGTCATATTTTATGTCATATTTGCTGCTAGTTAAGTGGTAACCCGTGAAGATCCGGGTTAGATCTGGTCTTCTGCAATCCATGCTTGGCGAGAAACGGGATGGGGTGGTCATGCTCGCTGACTTCGCACATATCATCGTATCCCAAATGAATAATCGGTGCTCATAATGTCAATCACTGGATTATCAGGTCCAGACTCGATTATTTGCAAACTGCCGTCATGTAGATGGAAAATTGCTGTGTGCGGCGTTAAAAAACAAACAAGCAAACAGAAATTCAGTGGTTATCCATGAACCCCTATTTTAATTCCTGAAACTCCAAGCGTCACCAAGACTCGCAAACGTACAGCTAAAGTTTGAGGCTAGGATGACCAATCAACTCATAACTGAACGAGATGGTCCACTGTTTCGGCTTAAACTTTCGGCTAAATATTTTAATGGTCACCTAAAAAAAAAGAGTAAACCAATTCCATTAACGTAATATCAAGCATTCATCTTTTTAATACCGGACTGCTTCAGCTGCATGTAGATACTCGAGGCAGGACTAACGTGATCAGCGTACCTCATCCAAGGAAATGACTAAGTGGCTAAAGTAACGTATCACTTAGGATGCAATTACATGACGTAATAATCAACTATAACTAATCGCCTAATCAAATTTAGTCTATCTTAGACTAGTGATACTAACGAAGTCTATTCTAACCTGTGAGCATAAAGGACTAAAGCAAGTGTGACTGAGTAAGTATTTTTTAAAAGTATCCCAGAATTTGTAGCGGTATCCCAGAAATAACACGAAAGGAGACACCAAAATTGACCATGAGCCATTTCATTTTGGGAATCGAGCCAAGGTATCCGAGATGACGAGCAAATGCTTGAACCACTGGGTTGCCCCACCGACGCCTTGAATAATTTGAAAATGATGTGTCACGTGACACAATATTGGTACACCACGCATATACTGTCGGGATGGCGAGCCGTGGGGACAAGCTGCTGTTTGTCCAGGGCCCCACGAACAGAGGAGCCCCATTTTAATCTATGCATGTTTACTTGTTGAGTGATTGTGCAGCTAGGGGTACAAAGCAGAGCCTACAAGTTTGTTAAGACGGCCCCTGAGTGAGTGAGTGAGTGAGTTAAAATTTAACGTCACATCGGCAATATTTCAGCCATATCGTGACGAACGGCCCCCTGAGGGACATATAAATAATATATATTTGGGAGAGTATCGTGAAAAATAATATATATAATAATAAGTGTGTTTGCATTTACAAATATACATACTTAACTATGACAAGCGTTTGGGGAAACTCCGTCAACTATGGGGCGATGACGTAGTGTAGTAGTTGAAGCGTTCGCCCGTCACGCTGAAAGAACAGGATGATTCCCTACATGGGTAGAAGGCATGAAGCTCATTTGCTGGTGTCCTCAATCGTTATATTGCTGGAATATTGCTAAAATAGGTGTAAACCTAACTCATACTCACTCCACAACCATTCCCCGTGACGTGATGAACGGGTTGTGGTATGTGGTCTATACTGGAAAGTGTATACTTGACTCACCTGGTACCTCCCTGACATGAACTGTGCCCGTGAGGGGGTGCAGATCGGCTGGACATAGTAGTTTTCGAGCTTCACTCCAGCTGCCGCCAACTGGTCAAGGACTGGTGTTTTAATGTCCGAGTTGTGGTACCCGACATCATGGTACCCGTAATCATCGGCGAAGATGAAAATTATGTTTGGCTTCGCTGAAACAGCAGTGCAACAAGCACAAAGTAGCAACAGTACTGCACGATGCATGGTTGTCTCGAAACACCCCAGGTGCAAATGTGTCGAGTTCCCACATTTTGTCAGTCTTTTGTAGCAGTCACTTGTGATCATGTGACAATGTTTGATCATGTGACTTGAGCGAACTCCATAGCAGTGCTACGAAACATGTACTGTGTAATGAGTGAGGCAATCATTCGTCAGAACTCGCACCTTTCCGTATCATGCAAATGGACTCGTCACTTTGACATCACAAAGTTGATAGCCAATAGAATTGCGTTGCATGAATTGATGTTGCTGATTGACGTCAAACAGATTGTTGAAAGATTCAAATCACACACGAGGTTTTGTTAACATAACGGCTCCCATGTTTCCCACCGAGTATTTTATCTGACGATCTGTTTGCCTTCCGATATAAATTTCAGTTAAACGTCCATTTTTACAATATTTTAATATTTTTAATTAAATGATTTAGCAATGACTTTCAGAACAATATGTCGTCATATATAACTTAGTTTTAATATCTAAATAGTGTGCTTACATTTCATCACATGTGGGGTTACATTCTACACGACTCACCACGAATTCTTCAGTTTAAGATAATTTTAACATACATTCTTTGAAAATTAAGATACATATGTTTTACGACTATTAAACGTCCAAATGCTAACCGATTAATCTAAATACCTCAGCGACTGGTATGTCGTATTAGGTCATGTCAAAACGTGACATAACCCAAGAAAATATAATATGAACAAAATATTATGAACTTGATTCATTCGACAGACTATGATATAATGCTATAAAAACAGATTGCAATACAGGACAGATGCCCAGGATATCTTTTGAGCCTTTGAGTATTTATACTGTACAGTTATGGGATATTGGGTATTTATATTTTCTTTTCGAGGACATTCGAGATATTTCACTCCCTTACGTCCAGTCCGCCAGATCCAACCAACAACAGTGAGGTACGTTTCTTTTAACAATAAGTAAACACCTTGTTAAAACAAGGCAAGCAAGAATTCATGTCATGTCTTCTTTCGATGAGTAAATATAGATCAGCAAGGAAATTATGCAATTGAAAAAGGATAGCGATATAGTGTCTGAGGTTAATTTTATGTGGCGTGCTATTCATTTCAAAGTTAGTCCATGGATATCCCATGAAAACACTTGTTGGTTGGTTGTTAGGTTGGGTTGGTTGGTTTGTTGTTCAATGCGACACTTAGCAATATTCCAGCTAAATGGTGGCGGTCTGTAAATAATCGAGTGTGGGACAGAATATCCAGTGATCAACATCATGAGCATCAATCTACGCAAATGGAATACGATGACATGTGTCAACCAAGTCAGCGAGCTTGACCATCCGATCACGTTAGTCCCCTCAGTAAGGTGCTCAGTGGCACAAAGCAAGCAGTTCATGGATATGTCGTGAATTCTTTCGAGGAGTAAATAAATATATGTAAGAAAATCGAAAAGGATAGCGTCTGACACGTTTCATGCTTATTTCTACACCCCCACTGAGAATTAACTGAGTGGTGGTGATTTATCTACCACATTTACGCACATACACAGCTTATCTTGAGTTCTAGATGTCACGAATTACCTTAGGTACATAATTCAAATGCTGTTGTCATCCTCCCGATTTGTACATTCCAGCTGAGAGTCATCATCCCACGTTGTTGGTTCATTATATTAATATTGCTTACGACAACCAGGTTATTATGTATATCATTATGTCATGATATGTGTGTATACGTTCATATCAAACAGATTGTTGATAATCATGAAAAATTCTTTTGTGATACTGTTATCAAGGAACATGTATACTGAATCAGTGAGCACATGTGTGAACTGACATACAAGCTTATGAATGCGTATGAGGTAATATTTATATGCAATAATACAGACATAGAGACGGTGATGTGACACGGGGTGCAATAACCAGACCCATGTCACGCCCTCTGCTAGCTGTTGTAGCGTGTAAATGCACTTTTAATGTCTGATCGATGTCAGCAACGAAATTGGATTTACGTAACCCAATGGTTAGTTTTCCAATGACAATGGACCCGTGAAGGTCCGGGTTAGAATATTGATCTTCAGTAACCCATGCTTGTCGTAAGAGGCGACTAACGGAATCGGGTGGTCAGGCTCGCTGACTTGGTTGACACGTCATCGGTTCCCAGTTGCGCAGATCGATGCTAGTGCTGTTGATTAATGGATTGTCTGGTCCAGACTCGATTATTTACAGACCGCCGCCATATAGCTGGAATTTTGCTGCGTGCTGCGTAAAACGCACTCACTCACTCACTCTAATGACAATGTCTTTGAAAGAAACCAACGCATTAAAAATGTAAAGGCAGTTTTCTTGGCATACTATACATCGCACCTCAACTGTCTGGCATTTCGCCCTTGGGCTTAAATGGCGGAATATCGGTCCACGGTCTTACTTACTACTCTCACTGAAATGAAGAAGGAAAATACTGGGTTACAATTCTATACATGGTATATGTGATCGTAGGTTCGATACAGTCATAGAATTTTCACGTGATAGAAACATTTACTTCTTCTGATGATAAAAGACGGTCACCCATTGATAGATAGGTATTAGCAAAACTCTAAAGCAGTCTTAATTATGAATCAGCATGTTTAAAGTAAGCCATTAGGTCTTACTTTTAGTAAATAAAGCTCCCAAAAGAGTTCCCGCTAGAACTTCCTGTTATACCTTCCTGTATATCAAATCTGCTTCCAGCTTTCAACTTGATTGAGGCCAAGTAGTTGTTCAAAGCGTTAAGCCATTGATGAAACAATGTGGTGATGTCTTTGGGGAGTTTTAATGTCGTTAGTAACATAGCCAACTAACAACTGCCAAGCAGAAGTCTTGATTGTTCTGGCAGAGATCTTGACAGATCTTGAACTTAAATGAGTATATTGTCATCGTGAGAGTTGCTTGATTGCGTGTCATCGCACCCAGACCTTGGATCATTGCTCATGATAACAGTCATGTACCCAGACCTTAGATCATTGCTCATGATAACAGCCATGTACCCGGACCTTGGATCATTGCTCATGATAACAGTCATGTACCCAGACCTTGGATCATTGCTCATGATAACAGCCATGTACCCAGACCTTGGATCATTGCTCATGATAACAGTCATGTACCCAGACCTTGGATCATTGCTCATGATAACAGCCATGTACCCAGACCTTGGATCATTGCTCATGATAACAGCCATGTACCCAGACCTTGGATCATTGCTCATGATAACAGTCATGCACTCAGACCTTGGATCATTGCTCGTGATGACAGTCATGTACCAAGACCTTGGATCATTGCTCATGATAAGAGTTTTGTACCCAGACCTTGCTCCATTGCTCGTGATAACAGTCATGTACCCAGACCTTGGATCATTGCTCATGATAACAGCCATGCGGCAGGAATATTGCTGAGAGCAAGGTCAAACAACAGACAAGCAAACAAACCAATTATACAAAGTCATAGGTACATGACCAGTGTTTCAGTCTGAATTTCAGTGGTGTTTGCAACGGTGACTGGATTAAGCAAATAAAGTACAAAATCAATGAAAACTTCCTCATCCATCCTTTCTTCATGACATGGAATTGAAGGGTTCCGGGAGATAAATAGAGAATCTCATCCTCGTGTCTTCTGATATCAAATATATCAACACGAGTTTGATTAAAGTTACAATTTACTTATTTTTAGTTTAAAGGTCACATGCAACCAAAAAATCAAACATAATTAAAACACAATTATCACTTATTCATGACATATAATATACATTGCTGGTTATGAAAAAACATATAAACAAAATTATAAGCGTACAATCGCAAATCAAAAGTGCAATATTGTGTACTTTGGTTTACTTCCCAAGAAACGAAGCAGCCGGGATACCGAACCCAGTCAGAGCGTATGGGTGTGCACTCAAGTGTAACGGCTGGTTCATTTGCAGAGGCCCTCAAGGCTCATTGTGTGTGTATATATAGAGATGTTGGGTTTTGTAAATACATGCTCATTTTTTGTGTATAACATTTTGCAATCAACAGACATGATAACATGTCATGTGTTCAAGTATCACACCTGCCTGTCTGTGTAATTACATAATGTGACAGAGACCGAACTCGGGCCATAAATCAATGCATTTTGTTTATGGTGTATAGCCTGATTGGTGTTAAGTTCAAATTGCATGTGGTCAGTGATAGCAGCTGTGTGTTGAATATTGTCATTAGCAGACAGGCAGGCAGACACACAGGTGTCAATAAAACAAGACATTGAGTTTTGTCTGTGACAACGACATATCTTTATCACAGTTAGAAATTCTGTCAACGCTAAATAATGACATTGCTTTTAAGTATCGAACTGAGAAAGTGACTCGGTAAGAAGAACGTGTGGTGAAATAGACAAATGAAATTATATAAACAGTTAATTTACTGTCATAACATATAAAAAGCTCGCGCCTGTGAGATATCAACAAAACATTAGAAAAATAGCTCACACCAAAGCCTTCACCGAGTATTCACCGGACAAACCTATTTCACTGCGCACGTGCTATGAGCGCAGCCCAGCTGTTGAAACCAGTTTTCCCCCTAAAAGTCGGGGGAAAATTAGTGAAACGTTTGAACTCCGATTTCACGCGGTTTTTTTCATCGCGTTATTTTTCAACTTTATAAGTTGAATTTGCATTTTTGACGATTTGTTTCGGTAAGTCCATACCGAAAGATATCAGAATCTGCAAAGTTGTGTTTTACGTTGCATGTGACCTTTAATCAACGAGTGTTGACATATTTGATATCAGAGGACACGAGGGTGTGATTTTATTTATTGTCCAAAATCATTTTTCATCTGTTATCAGTAAAAGAATGAATTTGTCTGAACACAAGACTGCCATTAGGCTTCTTATGTTCTGTGATCTCAGTGAGGTCATAGCATTGTGACGTCATCAGCTTTATGACATCATAGCATTGCGATGTCATCAACTTTTTGACGTCCCAACATTATCAGCTGTGTTCTTAGTGATGTCAAAGCATTGTGAGGTCATTAACTGATCATGTGATAGCA